GTATCCCGAGGTACCACCGTACAGCAGGTTTTAAATGCATATTCCAATTCATACAGCGTTGTAGACTTTACAAATGCTTTTTGTCTTTGTAATTTATATTTTGTAATTTATATTTCCTCATACAACAAAATTTTTGATTTTAGTATATTCAGCAATGTTTGGAGATTTTTGAGATTCTAAGACTGAATTGTTAAGTGATGCTCAAATGCCTTTCTAACATAACTGAATTATGTTTTCATATAATTTATTAATCAGTCAATTGATCCTATCAAGACACAACACAGCATCAAGTAACAAAAAGATAAAATAGGTACAAAACAAAGTATATTCAAATCAGGGCATCACCTTTGCATGAGCCTGTTCTATATAACAGGCTTTCAGCTGAACAGCGTTGACTATAAATTTGGCAGTTCTGTTGGCCACATACTTATTAGTGCCCTGAAGGAAGTAGGACAATCTGTTGTTGAGGTCTCAATAGGCTGTTGTGTCAAATTAAGGTTCTAAATACCAGGCCCCTGCTGAGGCATATGTAACTGGCAATCAAATAAGTCATGTGTGCTATCTTCTGTATCCGGAGCTCCACATACTCAATTCTTCTCATAATATCTCCACACAATGGAGATATATATAATATCAAACTGACTCAACACACAAATGTTCTATGGGGATTTCTCCTGGTGAAGCTTCAGCACATACTGGGAATTATTAATGCAACTGATGAGAATTTTTCAAGCATGAATGGGGGGTATATACTTAAATACCCAAATGGTCCTTTGTTACAGGTAAAAAGCAACCTTAAGAAAAAGAAGAAGCCCTTGCTTGCTATATATACTGCACGTGTGTAATGCCATTAGCATGTAAGTACTTTTTTCACTAGGCCATTGCTTGGCTTTTAGTACTGTCCAAGTCAGAAGCAGCCCAGAAGAACTGCAAAGGTGTTGTGGGGCCTTACCAAAGTAAAAACGAAGGATGCCCTTTTAAAGCGGGACTACTGCTCCCAAATTATTCATCCTGAAAGCACTGGATCATACCCAGTCACTTTGCTCCAAAGCGATTGGGAAAAACATCAGCATAAAGCCCAAATCAAGAAACGTTAGCCTACTGACAGTCCGAAAGTTAGCCACAGCTTCTATAAGAAGAAAGCCAAAGTAACTCTTACTGTTCATCAGGCGTGGGGAGCTTATCCACAAAATCTTGGCTCACATAAACGTGGCAAGTGGAGCAGGCTAAGGAGGCTTCACAGGCACCTGTCAAGGCAAAAGGCAGATTGATTCAGCCCAGCTTCCATGATCTCAGATGATTCTGCTAACCAGCAGAAAGCCAGCATCTGGGTTTAAATCCACATCATTCACAGATATTTTTTCCCCAGGCATATACAACAGGCAGATCTTCCCAACCCCTTTCCTCCTGGAGAGCAAAATGTTTTGTCTTTTTAAAATTAGAAGCAGACCATCATCTTGTGGTCTGTCCAGAACCTTATATTTTTATATAGGAGATCTTTTTAACTCACAATCTGTGATATGAACAGCTCTAACTTATAATCTTTGCTAGTGAATGTGATGTAGAAGATTACTCCTATGCTGCTATAGGGCTATAAACAGAACCTTCAATTTGGAGGCAGTATATTATGGAATACCCTCTCCCCAGAGGTGAGGCAGCCCCCATTCTCCCGGCTTTCCGGAAAGGGTGAAGACCTGGCTCTGCCAATTTGCATGGTGCGTAAGGAGAGGCAACCAACCCCGGGGGTGTTAGTACCCTGAAGAAGCTCCCATTGACTAATAACTTTTCATTTACCATCTATTCCCTGGAATGCATTATTTGTTTAACAACACTGTTTTCTTGTATTTTAATTAGTATTTATTCTTGTTTTTATTGTAAATTGCCCAGAGTTTTATTTACTCTCAATTTTTTTTTTTGCATAAAAGCAGCAGCTTTTTTTTTTGCCAACATCTTAAAGCATGTTCTGGAATTACCACTGGGAGGCACTGATGTTAAGCCACACAAGAATTTTCATCTTTACTGCTGCAATTCACCCTAAAATATTGAAATGTTTTAAAGCCCAATATTGTATTTCCTTATTTCTTCCATGTTGGTATACAGTTATTTGTAAAGATTTTATTAATATTTTTAGTAATAGTAATACCTAAATATTTTAAAGATTTATATACTATTGGAAGCACTAAAATTGGAAATTTCCTTTTGAGTTTTTGGGGGAATGTGAAAAAACATCAGATGTGATTTATGAAAATTAATTGATAGTCCTGATACCTCTGCAAATTCCTCTAATTCCTTAATATAACTAGCTGAATAAGAAGCATTTGAGAGAGACAATATCATATCATCTGTAAATAGATTTAAAAGATAAGTCTTATCTCCCATTTTCACCCCACAAATCTGATTGTTGGATCTAATGCTTCTATAACTAGGCTGAATAGTAAAGGTGATAAAGGGCAACCCTGCTTGGTACCTCTTAAAATTGTGATGGGATCTGAATCATAACTGTTAAGTCTTATCTGAGCTATAGTTGGTCCATAAATATGTTCAATCATCTTACGAAAACCAGCCCCAAATTTAAATTTAATTAATATTTGTTTTAAAAATTGTATTTCCAGATTTTCAAAAGCTTTAAATATATCTAAAGAACAAATGGCTACAGAAGATTAATTTTATGAAATTGTATAATACAGTGGTACCTCGGGTTATGAACGCCTCTGCTTACGAACTTTTCGGGATGCGACCAGCTCCGGCCGCAAAAATTTACCTTGGTTTGCGAACTCCGCCTCGGGGTACGAACCGGATCTGCAGCCGTTTTCCGCCGTTCCATGTGGTCCGCAGCCATTTTCCACCCGGGCCACGTGGTCCGCGGCCATTTTTCCGCCCTTGCCACGCGGTCCGCGGCCGTTTTTCCGCCCTGCCGCATGGTCCGCGGCCGTTTTTCCGCCCTTGACGCATGGTCCGCGGACGCCGGAACGGATTAACGGTAATTATATTGAAACTTATGGGAAAATTTGCTTCGGGTTGCGAACAAATCGGGTTGCGACCAGAGTCACGGAACGGATTAAATTCGTAACCCGAGGTACCACTGTATTTAATAATTTCCTGATAGGGGTAGATATATTTCGATTTGGAATAAAACCTGATTGATCCATATGAATAATTTTACCTATAATCACTTTTAGTCGATTAGCTAACAGTTTAGTGTAGAGTTTATAGTCCATGTTGAGAACTGAAATGGGCCTATAAGATGCCAAGTCTTGAGAATTTTTACCCGATTTAAGGATCAAAATTATCTTAGACTGTTTCCAAGACTCTGATAAAGGGTCCCCTTAGTGCAAAGTATTGCATAAAAATAAAAATTCAGGTATTAAAATCTCTTTAAATTCTTTATAAAATTCTCCTGACAATCCATCAGGGCCAGGAGATTTTCCATTTTGAATAGTATTAAAAACATCAGAGATTTCTGAAATAGAAAAAGATTCCATAAATTGGATATCTTCTGAAGCCAATTCTGGGAATGTTAATCTATTTAAAAAATTTTATTGGTGATGGATTATTTGAAGAATACAATTGTTGAAAAAAAGTTAATTGTTCACTTATACCTTTGGTTTTGGTCACAATTTGACTGTTGCTGTTTTAATTGCACTAATATTTTTTTTTCCTTAGCTTTTTTCAATTTGCCAGTATTCTAGAATTTTTATTGTAGTGTTCATAATATCTTTGCTTAGCAAAAACAACCAGATTTTATCTGTATCCAAATTATCTCTCTCCTTTCATTTACTAGCTGTTTGTAAATACTATCTAATCCAGTTCTATTATAGTTTGATAATAAATCTGTATATATACTAATTGATAATAAATTATGTAATATAGTTTCTAAATAAAGCTTACTTGCCTTTTGTGCTGATATTTTTATCATACTCATCTGACTTATACACTCTCCTCTTAATACTGCTTTCATAGCATTCCACCTTACTGTTTGTATTATTTTTTTTGAAAAAAAAAATTCTCAAAGTCTGAGTTAGTCATTGCTTTGCTGCCACTTTATATGGTAATATAGGACTAAAACGCCAGTTATAAGTAAATAGAATAATCTCTTCTAATTTAAGTGTAATAATTACTGGAGTGTGATCTGATATAAGAATTGGTGCAATTTTAACTTGTTGCAGGAAATCTGAAAATGTTTTAGATATCCAAATGTAGTCTATCCTAGTATGAAATTTGTCTGCCTGAATAAAACATATGTGCTTTTGTTGCAGGGTTCATAATTGTCCATATATCTATGAATCCATGACTATGCATTAAATTTTGAAGTCTCCTATATATTCCAATCTGAGGTTTTAATGCATCTATATTAAAGTCCTGTCCTATTATAAAATAACCTGTGTTACTTTTTTTACTGTTCATAATCTTTTGTAGGAAACCAATCTGACCCTGATTAGGAATGTATACAGATGCTGGAGTTAATGTTTTATTGTCAAATTCCCTTTCTATAAATATATATCTACCTTCCCTATCTTTCAAAACCTTTTGAACCTTGAAATTTAAAAAGAATGGCTACTCCTCGATTTATTAGACCATTGTGCAAAAAATTGTTTCTCAAAGTACCTATCATTCAACCTATTTGTGATATATGTTTCTTGTAACATAAACACAGGAGATTTAAATGATCTAATATAATTAACAATCCTTTTCCTCTTAATAGGATCTCCCAGACCTCTAACATTTAGGGAAATGATTTTACATTGTTCTCCCATTACTTACATTTTTTAGAGTGTCTCTATTTTCTCTATGCAATGAAAATAATCATGCATCCAGGAAATTTTTGAAAGCTTATTACTCACAAAATTTATCAATATGTGGCTTGATATTATAAAGAGCATTAGTGTTCTGTTTACTGCATAGATAGCCTCCTCCCATTCTCCCTCCTGCCTTTGGAAATTGCCCTCCTCCCTTGTCCATCCCCCACACTAAACCATATCATCATATCCAACCTCCCTGCCCTCCAGTCCTACTTAGATTGATAGCAAAAAATGTGCAGAGGATCCTTTAAGGATCCTCTATATGGTCTAAAGGGGGGGGGGAGGTATGACCTACTAAGATTCCTTTTCCTCTCACCAGCCAATAAACTCCCAGATTCAACTACAATAGTTTCTCAGCCATAGTTTTACCTACATTATTATTTTATATAGTTCTTTTCCCTTATTTGACTCCCTTTTCCCCTTTCCTCTAAACCTAAAGATTCAAAAAGAGTAAAACACTCAATATAATTTGTTACGCCGCAGCTCAATGCAGTGTTTTTCTTATCTAATCTTCAGCTTATGGTTGAGCTTGGTTTCCACAATTCCAAGGACAAGTCGTGGATAGCTTCCTTCACCCCTTGTTGGAGAGCTCTGCCAACAAGTTCTGCATCTCAGTTAAAGCTGAAATAACTTTTCATCCCTTTGGCATAAAAACAATTAACTTGAAAGGAAATCCCCATTTGTATCGAATCTCATTCTACATAAGTTCTTTTGTTAGTGGTTTGAATTCTGTTCTTCGCTGCAATGTAGCTACGCTGATATCTTGGGAAAAAATATTCTCTCACCATCCCATTTAATCTCCTCCAGTTCATGTACTTTTCTTATAATTTTATCTTTTACATTTGAATTTACAAACCTGACCAAAATGTCTCTAGATTTCTGTGTATTCCTAGCAGAGTAAACTGGTGAGGATGTTCAATATCTTTGATAAGTTCATATCAGAGCTCAGGTCATTAATTTTAGAGATGAGATAAGTAATCAGATTGTTGTTCCAGTTTTCTCTGACACTCCTTTGATCCTTAAATTATTTCTTCTGCTACGATCCTGTAAATCTGCCAACTCAATCTTTATTTCAGAAATACTCTTTTGAACCTTACCTATCTCGAGTGTTATTTGTAGTCATGTCATTAGCTTTGCTGGCTACCTGAGCGATATCTGCTATTTGCCGTGACATTTCCTTAAATTGTTTATTCATTTGCTCAGACATACCTG